AAGCATTTGATTCTCTATCAAGCTAGGGATTCCAGAGGAGAATCCATAGACGTGGATTCTTTTTTTTTTTTTTTTTTCACAAAATGTCCTGGGCAAGTAGATGTTGTTATTCTGAAAAAACTGACAACTGCTCTTTCACAGGTACACACACTGTGAAAGCTCCTTGTTCACATGTTCTTAACAAGCAGACCAGGTGGTCAGGTTGGCCACGAGGGCGAGGACGCCGTGGCTGGCTTCCACTCCTGGAAGGCGTGTTGTCAAGATACCCAGAAAAAGAGATGCTGATTCCCTATGGGCATAATCTTGCTTCTCATTATAAAAAATGAGCAAATGTTTAATAGGCACAGTATTGCTAATCGTTAAGGAAACACAAACTAAAACACCGTAAGAAAGGGATTCCCTCATGTTTTCACAGCAGGGCGAGGTGAAATGATTCCCTGTGTGAGGCACACCAGGGTCCGGGGGCGGCCCTCCAGTGTACACGCATCCCACTGGCACTGCAGGAAAGAAAGACGAAGGAAACAGGAAGACTCGGAAGCTCTTCACAGAATGCTACTTTAAAAGCCCATAACTGCTCAGAAAAAATAAACGAAAGCCTAACAAAAGGGACACACAGCACATCATGGTATATATTTTCAACAGCACTGAAAGCTAACAAGCACATGAACTGCATTAACATGTAAACACTTGCATATTAAAAATACTAAAATTAGCAGAGCAAAGCAGAAGTCTAGCAAACAGATGTCAGCTCCACACAATACACGTGTACAAAGTGGAGGACATTATGACAGAACCCAGCGAGTCACAATGAGGTCCTTTTCCTTTAAGTTACCTAAGTCTATCATTTTTTGAAGTGTTCACATATTTTGCCATTCTGAGTAGTTTCTTTCGGTGGGACAATTTTTCTTTTTTCTTTTTTTTTTTTTTTAAAAGATGACCGGTAAGGGGATCTCAACCCTTGGGCCAATTTTGATCCGAAATCAATGATGCGTTTTCCCCAGAATTATTTGAATCTATTATTGCACTTTTGGGTGGTTCTACCTTCGCTAGCAAGAACTTCTCTCTTCTTTCCCAGTCACAATACATCTCCTTATACTAGAGGTTAGATACAACATTAACCCCTACATGTTAAGAAGCCTTCTTCCCAGGACTTTCCTCTCTCTCAGTCTTGTTGGGTGATAAATTGGGTCACAAAGGTGAAGATCACAATTTAGATTATGTGATGTATCCTGCAGCTCTTCCAGAAATCAAAGAATGACCAGCTGAGTCAGCAGAATCTACAGATTCCCTCATGCTTTGTTCTAATGAAGAATTCCCGAGATTGAGAAAATAAAGGGCTGGAGAGGTGCTGTGTTCTGTGCATGAAACAGAGAGAGAAAGAAAAGCAGTTGCTGCCATTAAATACACAATTTCTTAAAGCACTAAGTGCAGAACGGTGGGGACGGTGGTAACCTTTCTTCACAGATGCTTTGAGCAAAGAGGATATCATGAGACTTCACACAGATTCCAATTCTCTTTCAACCCTGTAATAAAATGCAGATCCCTCATTTTGTTTATTTACGTATTCTCCTATGAAAGAGATGTCTCTACCTTTGACCCCTCAGTAGGGTGCTTGCTTTGGCCAGACAATCTTTTTCTTTTTTTTCTTTTTTTTTTTTGTCCTTTTTTTGAGACCGACCGCACTGCGTTCAGCCAGTGAACGCTGTGAGCGCACCGGTCATCCCTATATAGGATCCAAACCCACGGCGGGAGCGCTGCTGCGCTCCCAGCCCGCACTCTCCCGAGTGCACCACGGGCTCGCCCCCCAGACAATCTTTTGATAATATAAAACTAATATTTCTTGAGTGCTCATAACGTACTGCGCATATTCCTAAGCACTTAAGAATTTAACCTTGTGAGGAAGGCACCATTATTATTCCCATTTTACAAGCAAGGAAATAGAGGCACAGAGAAGCTAAGCAATTTGCCCAAGGTCACCTGGCAAATGAATTCATACTGAGGTCTAACTCCAAAGTTGGAACACCAACCTTTACATACTGCATCATGCCTACTAATAGCACACAAACATATAGAGTAGTTTTAAATTTTTAAAAAAGTTTTTTCTATGAAATAAATACAGGAATTTGATATCCAGTATATATGGGGAAATGGCTCGTCCAGCTCTAAACCAATCTGGAAAGTCCTAACATCATGCAGGAATCTATATTAGTAAGCCTAATATGAGGAAAGAACATTAACCTAAACAGTTCCCAAAATTTAAAAGCAATACTTCAACCAAACATTCCATATCTCTATCCATCTGTCAAAAGACTTTCTCATCACCAGAACCAGGATGTAAACTTCCTTGTTTCATGTTGGCTATAAAGAAAATAAGAGAATAAAATAACACAGCCTATAAAATCTATGCCAGAAAACTCTAAGAACAATTTACCTTCTCATGATTATTCCAACTTTCATATCTGAAATTCCAGCCATGCAATTAAGAGCCTAAAGGCACAACACACAAACACTGCTGCTCTTCTCTGCTCTCTACACAATATCTGACAGAGGACTGAATGTTTTGGGTTTCTACTTCTAAAGAGTGAGACTGCTGTGAAGGTCATGTCAACACCAACAACTCAGAGGCCCTAAAAGCAGATTCAGAATTGATAAGAACCAGTCATCCTACATGTGGGTAAAATGCAGCAGTCCAAGAAACCAGGCGATGGAGAAATCACTGTATTTTGCTATTGTAACTACTTGAAGTCCAAGCCAAGTAAAATAAATTAAACTAAAATATTACAACCCTGGGCTGAAGCAGTTTCCCCTGAGTCAAACAGGACTAAGTAACAGTAAAAAGACTTAGGATGGAATCATTCTAAGTCTGACACACATGGGGCTTACTGTCAAAGGAGACTAGCCACAGTGCTACAAAGTTTCCAACCCTGCGGGAACTGGGGACCCCAGAGCAGACAGCAGGCCAGGGGCATCAGGCCAGGGGCATCCGGCCACTGTAAGTTCTATACAATGCACCTGTTCCTGATGTCAGGAGTAAATTCCCTACAAGCACCCACTGCAAAAATCACCCAGGAACTGGTCCCAGTACAAGAGAGAAACCTCGGAGGAAGCGCTGGGAGTCAAGAAGCAAAGAAGCCCAGCCACACACCTTGCTTCACTGGCACCTGAGCTGAAAGAGTCGTTTGCTTAACTGCATCTGTTGTTTGAATGACACGTATTAAAAGACATTTTTAAAAGCCTTCCTATTTTGAGTCACAGAATTTCAGAGCTTTATAATATCTGTTGAACTAGGGCTGGGTTTGGAGCTCACAGACCCCTCAAGCCCATTGACAGGCTGGGTTCCAGACCACTCACATGCCAGGCTGGGTCACCAGACCCCTCACATGCAGGTCTATGAGCTAGGTGACCAGCAAACAGGTCCTTGAAAGCCATAGGTCAGAGAGCATGGCCATGCAGGCAGATACCCGAGGCACTCAACACCAGACAAATTGCTGCACATGTGCACTAACTCCACCCACACACAACTTATTTACAAAGAATGCACCACACCACCCCCAACTGGAGGGCAGGCAAGAGAGCCTGATTAAATTATTCTATTTTCCCAACAGTACCTTAAGTTGCCTTGTCCATTATCTTAACTGACTTGGGAAAACTTGTGAACACCTGACAAATAGGGAAAATGACACACAGACATTTGGATCCCAAAGTCATTTCAAGAAATAAGCATCTAAAGCACAGGCAACAAAAGTAAAAATAGACAAGTGGGACTACATCAAACCAAAAACCTTCTGCACAGTAAAGGAAACAATCAACAGAATGTAGAAATAACCTGCAAAATGGAAGAAAATATTTGCAAACTATGCATCTGACAAAAGACTAATATCCACAATAAAAAAGGGGCTCAAACAACTGAATCACAAAATAACAAGTAACCCGATTAAAAAATGGGCAAATGAGCTGGCCTGTTAGCTCAAATGGTTAGAGCGTGGTGTTGTAACACCAAAGTCAAGGGTTTGGATCCCTATACAGGCCAGCAACCAAGAAAAAAAAAAAAAGTCAAACGACCTGAATAGACATTTCTCAAAACAAGACATATAAATAGCCAACAGGTATATGAAACAATGTTCAACATCACTAATCATTAGGGAAATGCAAATCAAAATCACAATGAATTTTATCATCTCACTCTAGAATGGCTATTATCAAAAAGACAGAAAATAAATGCTGGTGAGGATGTGGAGAAAGGGAACTCTTATGCACTGTTGGTGGGACTGTAAATTAGTACAGCCATCATCGAAAACAATATGGAGGTTCCTCAAAAAACTAAAAATAGAACTAATAATATGACTCAGCAACCCCACTGCTGGGCATTTATCCAAAGGAAAGGAAATTAGTATACCAAAGAGATACCCGCACCCCCGTGTTTACTGCAGCACTATTCACAACAGCCAAGATATGGAATCAACCCAGCTGTCCATCCACAGATGACTGGATAAGGAAAATGTGGTACATATACACAATGGACTACTACTCTGCCATAAAAAAGAGTGAAATCCTGTCACTTGTGGCAACATGGATAAGCCTGGAAGACATTATGGTATGTGAAATAAGCCAGGTGCAGAAAGAGAAATACCACATATGCTCACTCATGTGGGAGCTAAAGAGAAAAGTTGAGCTTATAGAAGTAGAGAGTAGACCTGAGGTTCCTAGCAGCTGGGGGGTGGGAGAGGGGAGGAGATAGGGAGAAGTTGGTTAACGGATACAAAATTTACAGCTAGGTAGGAAAAATAAGTCCTAGTGGCTTACAGTTGTGCTAGGTGTCTATAATTAGCAATTTATTGTATGTTCTCAAATGGCTAGAAGAGCTCAAATGTTCTCATCACAAAGAAACAATAAATTTTTGTGATGATGGATATGCTAATCACCCTGATTTGATCATCACGCATCGTACACGTGTATTGAAATATAACTCTTGTTAACAAAAGAGGAACACAGGATCCACGTGAGAGAAAATGGCAACTTTATTTTCCAGAAAAAAAGCAATCTGCAGATTGAGAAGCAGAGGCCTCAGCAAGACAGAGGCTAAGCACTCCACCCAGGAAGGGGAGGAGGCTGGTATTTACGCCCCCTAGAATCAGGTTCACACGCATGTTCAGTGAGCTTAGAGGAATGCTGTGAATATGTATGAAGGAGGCTGTACACATGCACAGTGAGCAAACGTATACTAAGGTGTGCTACTGTGCGGGCTCTGCAGGCTGGCAGTGGCTGGTTCGGATGTGGCCTCTCTTATCAGAGGAGATGGGAAATTGTCCTTGGAGTCTGTTTTTCTGTCTACTTGTGGACACTGCAGGCTTTCAAGAATGAGGAGGACTGGAGGGGGTATCAGTGGCTGGCTCCAGGTGGTCTTGTTGAAGGTCAATGTAGAATTCCCAGCTGTAGCTGATTAGGCCTTATCTTCTTTGCTTAGTAACATAAAAGAAAACTTTGTAAGGGTTAGTAAGATATGTACCAGCAGGCTGAGGCATCGGGCCTGCCCTTTCCCTCCACTGCAGCATTTGGTTTAACAATTTGAATGTCTCTTTGAATCACAGTGAGTCCAATTTGTCTGTCCTTTGGGGTACATCTTAACACTCTATACTCCATAAATATGCACAATTATTACATGTCAATTATAAAAATATTAATTTTTTTCAGAAAAAAGAAAGCAGAGCTAAAACTAATATCCATACAAGGTGTGGCTGGGCAAGGGCTGCATACCCACCACCATGTCCCTTATACACACCTGCTTTAAGGCACGTCCCCTGGTCTCCCACTGGACAGGTCCCTGACCTCCTTCCATTGGACATTCTGGGGCCACTGCTGGCTAAAAATCAGGCTTCTGCTCCCTGAGGCAGGAAACACAGAGGCAGGGAAGGTTGGGGTGGTGGAGGTGAAGACGGACATCCAGTCTGGAATACGCTGAGTTTGCAATATCTACAAGGCATGAAGGGGGAGATGAGCCAAGGCAGTGGATGTCTGGCCTGGAGTGTAGGCATGGGCAGGAGAGACTGGAAAGACTCTACATATGAAGCTACTACAAGGACTGTCGTCTTTTTTCCCCTCCCTTCAGACAACGGAGCCAGAGAAAAATACCACATTTCATCAAATCCAAGATGGCACTGATTCTAAGATGAATGATGAAGAAAGAAAAATGCTGTCAAAATCTGACCCAATGCTAAGACAGCATTGATTTCAAGATGCCCTCCAAATTCAGAAAAGGTACAATGTGAGGGGAAAGAGGTGTATCTTAGAATAGATGACATACAGTAAGCTTTTTTATTGGTAGGAGGTCTTTAGATGGCAGTGAACACAGGGCAGAGATTTCTTTTTGTAACTTTTTATTCTGATATAATTTCAAATTTATAGAAAAGCTGCAAGAATTGTACAAAGAATTCTTGAATATCCCCTTACTCCTCCAGCTTCACCGTTTTCACTTTGCCCCATTATCGTACCCACTTTATCATTTCCTCCCTCCCTCCCTCCATGTCTATGTGTGTATGTCTCTGTGTCTCTCTCCCTCTCCCCCTACCCATTTTTGGGATTAATTTTCAAACTTCATGCCCCCATATCCCTAAATAATTCAACATGTGTTTACTAAACTCAAGGAGATAGTTCAGTATAAAGATCAAAATTTGACATTGACACAAAATTACTGTCTAATATACCATTCACATTCAAATTTTGCCCATTATCCCAACAATGTCCTTTACAGCTATCTCTTGCACCCCAGTCGAGGATCCAATCCTGGGTCAAGCACTGTATACAGTTGTCCTGTCCTTAATCCCCTTGAAAGTGGAACAGTTCCTCAATCTGTCTTTGTGTTTCTTTTTTTTTTTTTTTTTAAAGATGACCAGTAAGGGGATCTCAACCCTTGCCTTGGTGTTGTCAGCTGGAACAGTTCCTCAATCTGTCTTTGTGTTTCTTTTTTTTTTTTTTTTTTAAAGATGACCAGTAAGGGGATCTCAACCCTTGCCTTGGTGTTGTCAGCACCATGCTCACCAGTGAGCCAACCGGCCATCCCTATATAGGATCCAAACCCATGGCCTTGGTATTATCAGCACCACACTCTCCCAAGTGAGCCACGGGCCGGCCTTGTCTTTGTGTTTCTTAACCTTGAAATTTTTGAAGAGTAGTTTTTGTAAAATGTCCCACAAACGGAGTCTGTCTGTTGTCTCCAATTAGATTCAGGTTGTGGCAGGTGTGGCAGGGGTACCCTGATTTGTGTTTCTTAACCTTGAAATTTTTGAAGAGTAGTTTTTGTAAAATGTCCCACAAATGGAGTCTGTCTGTTGTCTCCAATTAGATTCAGGTTGTGGCAGGTGTGGCAGGGGTACCCTGAGGCAAGGTGGTGTCCTCCCCAGTGCATGTCACAGGAGGCACGTAATGTCTCACTCATATGTGGTGATATTAATGCTGATCACTTGGTTAAAATGGTATCAACAGCAGGGCGGTCACCTTGTATGTGAATTTGAATTATGAGAACTTTAAGTAGTAAAATCTACAAATATCAGAGTCGTATTTTATGTGTACAATTTGGAATAAAAAAAGTTCAAAAATAATTTAAAATGTATTAAGGACTGCTTAGTTTTAAAGCAACATGGCAGCATGCATTATCAACTATTTTTTAGACTTTTGTCACAGGGCAAGGCCTAGTTGGTCCCAAATTATTCAGGCTGTGGACTGTGACCATTTCAAACAGGCCCCTGCTTAAGGGAGAGAACACATGTTGAGAAAGCATCCTGCTTGAGGCAGTTTCCTGAGAAATGAGAACAGGCCATTAACGTAGACTATAGGGTTCAGAAACTGGGCATCTACGTTTCTGTCCCTGCCTGGAGCCGGGGGTGAAGGGGGGACTGTCCTGTAACTTCCCCTCATTTAGGTCCTGGGAAAGCAGTGAAACATCAGCTGAATCTAGGTGCTAACTGGCTGAGCCTTGGGGAACCCCTGGAGCAGAAGGCACCACTCTCTGGTTATCACGGGACAAAAAATGCTCAGTTTTACTGTCTACATGGGGACACACATCCCCTGAGTCTGTTCAAGGTTCTGTCATCTCTCCCAAGCTGGGGGTCTGGCATGCTGCCCATTTTTGCCCACTTCCACAAACACTGCTGGAAGCCCCAAGGCCAACTACTGCCCAGACTCCCTCCTTAGGCCACCTGAGTACAGGGCAGGTATAGACTTTCTGAATACCAGGAGCTCTCCCTGGGGTTGTGACAACATGCTCATCAAAGTCTAGACTGAACAGACTCTCCTTGTTGATTTGTAAGTAATTTATACCTGTTTACAAAATTCCTGTGCCCTTGAAACTAAAACTCCAAATCAGTGAATGTTTCCTTATATTGTTTGATGTTGATGCTCATGTTTATGGGTTGATGCTATCTGTGACCCAATGGAGCTCCTAAGTTCACCCTGGCAGTATGAGCCCACCACCTCCTCTCTGTGTGGCTGCTGGAGGCTAGGGGTTTGTTACAGTCCCAATCCCAACATCAGACTCATTTTTTAAAAATGTTATTTCCATAGACATGTGTACAACAGGCCCACAAGAAGCAAAGCACAATTCATTAAGTCATTGATACTCTTGCTTAAAAATGGAATTTGATGGGCCGGCCCGGTGGCGCACTGGATAGTGCGCCGCTTGGGAGCGCGGCGGTGCTCCCGTCGAGGGTTCGGATCCCACGTGGAGACCAGTTCCCGCTCACTGGCTGAGCGTGGTGCGGGCGCAACACCAAGGGTTGCGATCCCGTTGCCGGTCCCCAGTGCGGGCTCGACACTGAGGGTTGCGATCCCGTTACTGGTCACGAAAAAAGACAAAAAGGAAAAAAAAAATTTTTTTTTAATTTTTTTTTTTTTTTGTCTTTTTCCATGTCTGGCAACGGATCGC